CTGACCCTTTCGGAAGTATGGCCCAATCATGTCTTTTTGGAAAGTACACACGAGTGGCCGCTAGTGAGCGCAAGTGAACTCGAGTTCAGGTTAATTATGTCAACGAGAGCTGAATGTATGACTTCACCGAATGACTAACAGCAGGAATTCATAGTGGCTCTAATATCTTGTGAGTCTGTGCATCTTTGCGTTAACCAACAAGTTCGCAATAATTATATTACACTTATTTCTCTCATTTGCTCTCAGTTACTATACTTTCCACACTCTATGCACAAATCTGTCAGTTTTTTCTTATGTTTAGTATAATTAAAGTGATTTTACTTAATACGACAAAGATCGGTCGATGCATCCCTTTGGACCCTTGGGGGAGGGAGAGGGGCTTTTTAACCAAGATCGGTCAGTGTACAACGAGACTGCAGACTGAAGACTGCTGACCAGTGGTAAAATGCAGACTGAGGGTTAAATCCAGACTGCAAGATCGGTAGACAGGGATAAAATCTGAATCGTGTTACCATTTCTATTTCGGTCCGGTGAAATTTTTTTATACTGATCAACTTTTGATAACCATGATAAGACGCAACTTTTGGCAAAGTTTAAAAAAATTCTGTAGGTAGGGTTCAGAGCTATGGTATTAACCTATTGCGTCACGAAAATGTAGATAACAACGTGCTCGCCAATGATTGGGAAGTTTTTTGATATGAAACCATGATTGTAGTATCAAGTGATAAAAATGGTTATAAGCGACCCATCAAAATCTAAGTGCTGGAAACTGTTTTGAGCCACCTTAAGTGTTTTGATCTACCTCGAGACTTAAAAAGAGTAAACTGAGAAAACATTATTTGCTTGACTCCGGCTGGCACACAAATAGTTGAGTTCCCTCTAAGAGACGCGCCCGCAGGGAAACATGGCAGTTGTATTCATCAAAACAAATATCCAGTCCAAGATGATGAATACAACTACCATGATTCCCTACGGGCGCATCTTATAGAGGGAACTGGGAATTTTCTGTGGTTTCCAGGTGCACGATCTGATCACGTGTGAGTCGAAAGATAGAGAGAGAGTGACTAGGCAGTTAGTGCGTTTTGACCCATGACACGTGACACCTTCAATTTGAATTGGGAGATACAATGAAACACAATGACCCTGGTTAGGGCTAGAACCTGGACTGCTCGACCGGAGTCCTAGCGCATTAACCATGAGGCTATCACGCCCCTCGGGACGCAGATGTAATCACTTCAAAGTGTGTTGCCTCTGTCTCTAGGCTTTTGTTCTTTATGCTGGCATTTTTCCGAGCATTTTAGTGACGTTTTAATTTAGAGACGTTTTATGTTTTTTTGTTTGCTTTTGTTGTTGTTTTCTACAAAATCATAAATTTCAAAAGTAGTTAAAAGAAAATAAAGAATTTAAAAGTTCAAATGCAGGATCTACAGTGAAGCACTGGCATGATAGCCCAGTGAAGTCGACTGAGGACAGGTCAAAGGTTTGACTCATGCAAGAGTGTTGTCCCCGTCGCCTGTACTTAGGCCCTCTCTGAGGGAGTCTCTCAACAATTGTTGTAAGAAAAATCCTCGTGGTCGACTGAGGAATTAAAAGACTGTGTTCATTGCGTTCTCGGTATTGCCTGAATCGTCTGTGCCGGCTAACGAGAGTTAGGACGATTTCAAGTTGCTATATGATATTGTACATATTGCTGTTATCCAACTTATACCTTGTAGTTTAGTCTAAAAACGGTACAGTTGATAAAAAATAGCTTTGTGTATAATGAGAATTATACGAGCATTTTCGTGACTTGTTCTTTTTGAAAGATAGAGCATGTGAGTAGCAAAATGGAGCACAAAATCAGTGCATTTTAGTGGGGCGAAACAAAAGCATAATGTGCAAAAGCTTAGCTATGTTTAGAGAGAACACTTCACGGGATTAAATTCCGCTGCTGGTTGTCACATTCCGAAAGGTCATTCCGAAACCAATCTAGATGCTTTGCATAAAAGTCAGCCCTCTAATCTTAACCTAGAAGCCTCGTCACATTTATGGTTGAAACACATACAAATGTTTCGAATTTCGATCATAGCAAGTAGTAAAAACGCGTCAAAACCCCCTTCCCCCCACCCGTTAATGTTGGAAAATGGCAAAACGCATTAATGTGTCCGTTCAAAGTGTCTTGTCAACATTGCACAGGGGTGGGGAGGAGCCCCGGGGTGGGTACTTCCATAAAAATTGGGTGGGGGTGTGAGGCCAGCTTCCCAAAACCCTTACCCTATTTATGACCACAATCTGTGTATTTCCCTCCCCTTTTTATAACCTGACCAAAAACTTGATTCCCTATTTATGACCGGACCCTCAATACAAGAGTGCAAAAACCATACCCTATTTACGATCAAAATGGCCAAAATCGATACCTAATTTGGCTAAAAAGGCTAAAAAAACATACCCTTAGGGGCCGCAAATACCTATGTAGCCCATATAAGGAAGTACCCCCCTTGGGAGGGGCAAAATGTAAGGAAACCGAAGTGTTTCAACAATTATGACGAGGCTCGTAGAACTTATTGTATGAATGACAGAAAATGACCGAACAAACCATGCATACCAGCTGCAAAAAAGCTAAAAACAAAAACCTTGTCAATGCCTTCAGAAATAACTGAGACATCAGGGTTTTTTCGTCATATCTTTGTATTCGTCATCTACGAGTTCGTGAAATCAATGTCCATTACCCCGTACCAGATTATCCTAACATAGCTTTACAGTTCGATATGGCATTATTTCATTAATAAAGGTCCTTGAAATACAGTGAAAATAGTTCCATCTGAAATGTACGGCAGCATGTTCTACATGTTTCTTAGTCTGGGACTCAACTGCCGTCAAAACAGACCATCAGTTCCTGAACCAGCTGTGCTGCTTTGAAATCCCGTTCCAATAACTGACTGTAACAAGTACAGGATGCATCAGATCCAGTTCACTTCTGTTTGGTAAGGGAACCTGCAAAAGATAGAAGAGACATGTAATGACTCCGAGTAGTACCCAAGCTGCTTCACTTAATAAAAGTGTTGACGAACACTTCAATTGCCCACGTTCAACAGTACATATTCGGGTGTGATTACGCTATCGAGTTTATGTTCGAAAGAGTGCGGTAACAAAACTTACATGTATTGAGTATAGCTGAAAACCGAGGAGAATTAAATTTAATAGACTGAAATGAGAAGGTAAGACCTACGCTTTTCTTGTGGGCTGTCAACAGAGATTTGTCAACAAGGATAACCAAATTAGCATTCTTTCAAAGTGTTCTTGGCCTGCGTAGCTGGCGGGATTCGTGAGCGAGTGATTCTTAGTGACGGAGCCGCCCACGCGGGTGAAGGTCGTGAGGGAATTCACGAGCGCCACTCGCGTTCACGCTCGACTGGGCCGCCAAAACAAACACACTCGCGTGCGAAATGCCGCCAGCTACACGGGCTAAGGTGTTCCTGGCCATTACTTTACCTGCTTTACTGAGTCATGTACATATGTTGAAGTTTCAGGTTTACTTGTTAATGTTAGCTCTCACAAATGGTAAACGCTTTCGTAACATTACAAAACGTTTCTTCCCAAAATACATCTTCAGGATCTTTGAAATAGTTTTAGATTTTCTCTAGAGGGGAAATTACTTGATCGCGCTAAAATCATCGTGTAGACCATATTGGAGAATCGTAGCTGAACTCAACCTTCAACTTACCGAAAAATTAACCGGGACCACCGTGCGAGCCTGGTTTCTTCAAATCGGGATCGATTCGATTCCCGTACGACAGATACTGCCAAAATTGCATTACTTCTTAATACGCGGGGGGTACGATTAATTCCTCCTCGCGGGGGCAATTATTACTATTATAATATGACCACAAGATAGTAAAATTGATAGTACAGAATCTTCTATGGCCGAGGATTACTGTTAGATTAACTTCTCAAAGGTTTTCCTGCTATTGGACTTCGGTGTATAATTGTCATCAATAGCAATAAACGATCAACCTAACAGCCATACACAATGCAGCTAACTCTAGCGGAAGGAAAACACTAAGACCAATTACAATGAAGGTATTTCTCACCTTTCTTCCCTTCAGCGTCCTGGACGCTCGGCAACTTGACATGAACGAATTTCAGTCTGGCACCTAATAATCCAATGACGACAAGAGGCTTGTCCAAACAGGCTCCTAAACAGTGGGGTTGTTCTTCAATGTCTAGCATGCTGAGTAGATCTCCAGACCTGATGTTGAACAATCGAAGAAAGTTGTCCTTACTGCAGCAAACCAGAGACTCATCATTAAGAACAAACTTGCAGTCAACGATGTTACCTTGGTCTGTGAGCAAGCTATGGCGTGTTTTTCCGGTTTGTGCATCAAGAATGTGAACGCCATAACCCGAATCAAAGGAATTCCACGTGGCAACAAACTGTTCTTCAGGGGAGAACACGAAGTATGGCGGCAAAGTAGGTCCTTCAATACTTTTCTCATTTCTTTCCCAGACACACTTAAATGAGCTGTAGTTCCTTAAACTAACTGTGAACTGTACTACCGTAAATGAGCCTTCTACTCTTTCCTGAGTGGTACAGACTAGCAGCTGGTTCTGACTATTGCATGAGATAAACCGTACATCTTCGTCACAGCAAACCCTTGTCTTGATGGATGAAACACACTCTCCATTGGTTACACTGACGATGTCCACAACAAGCATTCGATAGTGTTCAAATCTATCCGAAATCATTAACATTCTTAAAGAATTCATGAGATGGTTAAAAAAACTGGAACCTAATGAGATGTCTAAATTTGATGAATTATGTGAAAATGTTGAATCTCCTTCATCTACAGACTCATCAACATCTTGTTCTACTGACTCATCTTCCGGAAGTAGATTCGAGGAATTTTCTGCCACTGATGAATGAAAAAAACTGAAATCCGATAATTCGTCAGGCGTTAATGTACGACAGTTCCATACACAGGCTATCAGCTCATCTGATAAATGAATAAGCTTTTCAGTACCTGTTAGTCTGGCAATAGGTCGGACACATTCGGTCAGCTCAAAATTCCACAGCTCTGGTACTTGATCCTTCAAACAAAGTATAACACCTTCCTTCATGGGAACAAGACACAGTGATGGGCAGGTGAAAAACTTTTTCGCCAAGACTTCTCGAGTTGACATTCGGTAAACAGTCACTAGTATTACTCTACCAGTGTCCTCATCTTCTTCTAAACTAACGCAATAAATCGTGTCTCCTTCAGAACAAAGTTCAACTTTTTCGACCACTTGTAGGGTGGAAGCTGAATTCACGTCGTTCGACAAGTCAAGGTCAACTGCGACGACGTACTTGAGAGATGGGCTACCAACCAATGCTGTTTCTGTAGACAGTTTTTTGTAGAATCCTGCAGGTAAGGATGGAAAAACAAGGCGGACGTTGTCCACCCAAATTGAGCGCAAACCGTCATCGGAAAGATGATTCTTCGTCAGTGTCCTTGGTTTAATCGGCCACAGGAAGAACTTTCGTTCAAGAAAGAACGGAGAGCCACAAGATGAAGAAAAAGAGAGACATTCTTTGAATTCCAAAAGGAGAAACTTTGGTTCCTTCTGAGACGCCCAACCATATTGATGATATCCGAGGTCTTCCACTCTATAAGGAAGATAGCCACAAACAAGGGCCTCATTGTCTGTTGTGAAGTGTAACAAACCACACGCCGCGTATTTGCGCTTGAACAAATATTGTCCATGCCATTTGTCCACATCAACAAGATAGATATAACCAGGCAAGTCGGCAAAAGCGACAAGTGTCCCGTCATGGGATATGGCGAAAGCTGTAATATCATTTTTCCAAGCAATGATCTTTAGTTCTTGACCATTTTCCATACTCCACAAGACTACTTTCTTTGGATCATCACAACAGTCTGTTAAGATTATTCTTTTCTCTCTAGGAAAAGCACAATGTGAGAATACGCAGTTGCTCTGTCGAAAAAGGTAATTACAATCTCCGTCAAGAGTATAAACACTTCGGAGACTACCTGGTAGGACATACTTTCCACTAGGATGAAAAACGACAGAACGGTAAAAAGTCAAAACTTTAAAATCTATCCCACGATAGGCACCACCATCGGAATATAGACTGTAGTCAGGATGCACGCCATGATATTCTCTCTTGATTAACGAGGGTCGTATCCATTCAATGTTGCCAGTTTTAAGAGACCACATATGGATTGTTCCATCACGACATTCGCACACCATGTAATCCATATCAGGTGAAACATCAAAACATGCCACCGTATCTGAACAGTAAAATCGGGCTTGAACTGCTCCATTCTCTTCTTTTTTGTCTAAGTATTTCATGTACGGTACAGTAGGAAGCCTGTTTTCCATGATGGTTGCGGCTCTAGATGATAGCTCAGGAGGCCCTTCATTGATCACACTTTGGAACCAAAGATGCGGATGGTCTCTTAACAGATAAGAGTGCTTCCTAAGCACTTTTAGAAAACAGATTAAAAGAGACTGACTTCGCTCACCGAGCACGGTTGGCTTAATGTGCTTTTGAACACTGAAAATATCTTCGGAGGAGGCAGTGCTGTTCACACAAAGTTTGGCATAAATGAGCTCCAAATCGGTTACATACGTATTAATCAGCTCTTCTATATCACAAGGTCTTGGACTTTCACCCGATTTGATCAGCTCAATCATNTGTTTGTCCTTCAGGTTTGTGCTTGACTAAGCTCAAACTACACAAAACGTGAGCAATAACAAACATTTTTATGCAAGAAAAATTAATACTTCAGTTAACTTTTAATCCTGGGTTAGCGTTAACCGGCTTTCGAACAACCCGGCCCAGGCTGTTTCTGGAGCGTCAGACTGTTACATTATTTTGAGTCTGCTATCCATGGGATATTTTAATCTTTACAGAAGCGTGACACAGTAGCCGGAAATATAAATTCTACTGTAAAATAAATGTTAATTGACGGGGAAAAAACACTCTCGTTGGAAAACAAACTTATTTCTCTCACATGAGATGTATGTTGTTTGCCGGCTGGGAGGTCCTAAAAGTGAAAAACTGTCACCCAGGTCTTGTTAATGCTGCCCGAGGCCGCAGGCCCAGCATCTGCAAGTCCGAGGTCCCAGTTTTTCAATATACGGATCCACCCCAGGCCGGTAAATAACTTTTCTTCCGCTCCCTGGAATCGCTTTAGTAACTGCGGAACTTTTCCACCCACTCATCGCGGGCGCGTTACCGTGACCATGGGCAGAGATTGGAAAATCCGGACTACGCTTAAAACCATTTGGATTGCAGGATTCGTTACCAGTACCTCTTTGAAAATATAATCACAGTTACTTCAGCTTCAGTGGTATGTGAATTCGAAGCATTTTGATTATTAACACCGACAGAAAATACCAGAAGGTTAAAGTTTGGAGCCGGTTTTCCCAGAACTTCTATAAGAATGAGAGCACTGTCCTCGACAGGGTCAAAAACTCGTGAGACGTATTCAACCGCTAAGAAAGGCAGGTTTTTAATTTAATTTGAGGGTTTCACGCTGTTTTGAGCGGAAAACATGGAAAAGTCATAAAGCATTAGGTTTGGTTGGCTCTACCAAGGAATAAATGGTGCCCACGTGACCAACGTTTTAATTCACGTGACCAACTTAAGATTGGCGCAGCTCCAAACGAAGTTTAGCGGCTACGTTTCAGCACTTTAGTGATTCCCTAAGTAAATTCGACTGATTTTAATGTATAATATCATGGGTTTATATTTCACATGTGAAACTCCAAAATCGCCATGGCAACGTTTGGCGCGAAATATCTCGATACAATGGAAAAGTAAAAAACCCACGATTGTAATTGTAATTCGTCACCTATGATATCAAGAGTTGATCAAATGGTATACTCGCGAAATAAGGTAATAATTTCACCTGCGTTTTGTCAAAATTCTAACAATTTCCCTAAGCCTTTATAATTAATATAATTAAATGAATGCGCGCGCCCTGATTGGTCAATCAGCTATGGTTTATTGTGCCGGTAAACTCATAGAAATTTCGCGTGTCTTCTGAATTATTATATAAAAGCAACAGACCACAAGTTTTTATGGTTTATAGGCTGATAAACCACTTGGGATGTTGGAAGAACCCTCGAAGAATTCGTAAATCACGAGCCGCAGGCTATAAACCATAAAAACTTGTGGTCTATTGCTTAATATGACAAACCGCGCGAGAAATTATTTCCATATCTCACTCGTCACCATTTGATTACCCATAGTAATTAATATAATTCTATGTTATTGAAAATAATAATGCCAACAAATAATCCTGTATCCGATATTCGTTTATTCTCCTGGTTTAGATAAGACTAACTCCCGAGGTCAAAATCAAAACGTACCACTATTCGGTACCCTAATATTATCACGCTATGTAATCTAATGAGAACACTTCATAGGATTGAGATGATAAGGTTGGCTCTTATGATCCCAGTGCTTGTGCGTATACATTTAAAACCAATTCAGATACTGTTACTAGCAAATGCGTTCGTTTTAATTGAGCTGAAAATCATTAGACTTGTACAAAAATAGAAAATTCATTTCCACGTCTTCGGGTATCAGATATGACTTAGGCAACAAGTTGTTTTGGTATATGTAAGTTCTTAAGACTATGGCCCATTGGACCGTACTACACCGTCCTAACATAGCTTTGCTCCTTAGATATTCCAAACAAAAACATCATATGAAGTAGTTAATTATTTTATAAAGTTCCTTGAAAAATTCCATCTAAAATGTACAGGAACATGTTCTGCACTCTGCTGCTTTGTAATCTCGTTCCAGCAACTGACTGTAACAAGTACAGGATGCATCAGATCCAGTTCACTTCTGTTTGGTAAGGGAACCTGCAAAAGACAGAAACATGTACATGTAGTGACTGCGAGTAGAACCCAAGTTGCAGCTAAACGTTTGAAAATTGCAGACCAAGGCTTTGACTGCCCATAATAATACATACATATTCGGGACTGAGGTTCTTCTAGACACGTTAGCGAATTTCTTTTCGAAAGAAAGCGGTAAAAATAAATTTTGATATAATGACGGGAGTAGAGCTGAAACACCAGGACAAAATTTATCCGGATTAAAGAACAGACTGAAATCAGAAGGTAAGACCTACGTTTTTCTTGTCACCTGCCTTCAGAGAGTTTTCAGCAGGGATCGTCTGGATTCTAAGTTTAAACCAAACTAGCAGTCTTCCGAGGTTTTCTTGACAATCATTAGGAAGTTCTTTAGTCATGCATGTATATGTTGGGGTTTTGGGTTTACTTGATAATGTTAGCCTTACAATTGATATAAAATAGTTGGTAATTTCAGTCAAATACATGAATTAAGCAAAATAGTTCTTGAAACCTTTTTCCCTCGAAAACCAATACTTCAAGACCTTCAAACTTGTCTTGAATAGAAATGAGCCTAAACATAGCATAAGCTCAATGCAAATTACAGAATGGTCAAACTCTGCGAAGCAACATGTAGATAAGAGCAGTAACCATGAAGACCTATGACCTCTATAAAATTTGCTAAAGCAAAATCAAACGGCTCTATCAATACAGAACATTAATCCCAATAACAGAGTATGATGTGCCCTTCGGAAACATGTATGAAGCAAAGAGAGGTCGAGAGAACGAAAATTAAAAGAGAACGGCAAATGCACAAATGCCACGAATCTTAGAAGTTTTGTAGACCCGTCAACCCCATTAATTTTCACACCGCAAAGCAATCGCTGGCACTCCCACGTCGTTATATTTAGGAAGTCGAATCTGGTCTTCCATAAGCAATCGTAATGGTGATATAACAATGAGAACATTGAAGCTACGAGGCTTCTCAAACAGAGAATCCGCAGCGATCCGAAGGCACTAGAAAATCAAAGATGTACGGTATAGCCTGTCGCCAAATTTACAAAGATATTTTGACCTCCAAGAAATTCGCGAAGCGTGTTTTTCTGTTCAGGTAGAAGATTATCGGTTTCAAACTGTTCTTTCACGGTTTTGAACACTTTTTGCCAACTGTTTTCTGTAACGGCAGACACCTTTACTTCCATCTCAAGGTAGTTTTGATGTGTTAACACACTACAAATGTACCTACTGCCTACTTCTGAAACCTGAACACAAATTCATTTTTGGCATTGCGCGAGTTGTGCAATCGATTTTGCAAGAATTTATCCACGCGTAGGCAACTAGCTAATCAGAAATGGATACACATATCCCTGCAAAACTGCGGGATATCGGAACAGTCTTCTAGGAACCTTTGCCCAGACGGACTATACCGATGGTTTAGACTGTCTGCGACGCAGGCTAACCATCTATTTAACAGCCATACATGATGAAACTAACCGAAAGAAATCACTCAGAACAGTATCATGAAGCCATGATTTCTCACCTTTCTTTCCTTCAGCGTCCTGGACATCCGGCAACTTGACATGAACGAATTTCAGTTTGGCGCCCCATAAGCCAATGGCGACAAGAGGCTCGCTCAAACATGCTCCTAAACAGCAGGGTTGCTCCTCAATGTCTAGTACGCTGAGTTGATCACCAGACCTAATGTTAAACAATCGAAGGAAGTTGTCCTTACTGCAGCAAACCAGAGACTCGCCATTAACAACGAACTTACAATCAACAATGTCATCTTGGTCTTTGAGCAAGGTGCGTTGTGTTTCTCCAGTTTTTGCATCAAGAATGTGCACTCCATGGCCTGAACTGAAGGAAGCCCACGTTACTACAAATTCTTCATCAGGGGAGAACATGAAATATGGCGTAAAAGAACGGGTGTCGTACCGCGCGTCTTTTCTTTTCCATACACATGAAAAGGAGTTGTTGTTCCTTAAACTAAGAGTTAACTGTTCCCCCTCAAAAAAGTCATCGTCTATTTCCTCGCAGTTGCACACTAGCAGCTGGTTCTGACTATTGCATGAAACAAATGCGTCGTCGTTGGGGCAAACCCTTGCCTTGATAGATGAAACACACTCTCCACTAGTGATATTGATGATGTCGAGAAAAAGCGCAAGGAATAAACGATGACATCTTTTAATTCCAAAATCACTGAATTCTGTAGAAGAGTCTGATGAATCGTCTGAAAATTCTTCATCTGTGAAGTTATCAAGATGTAGAGCTTCGTTTTCTTCCATTGAGTCATCTTCCGCACGTAGTTCCAGGGAATCCTCTGTCTCTGATGGATAACCAAAATCCGATAATTCCTCAGGCGTTAATGTACGACAGTACCATTCACAGGCTATCAGTTCATCTGATAAACGAATAAGCTTTTCAGTTCCCTTTAGTTTGGGAATTTGTCGGATGCACTCGGTTAGCTCAAAATTCCAAAGCTCTGGTACTTCATGCTTCAAACATAGTACAACACCTTCCTTCACGGGGACAAGCGACAGTGATGGGCAAGTGAAAGACTTTTCCACCAAGATTTCTTGGCTTGACATTCGGAATACGGTCACTAGAACCGCACTGGCACTACCTTCATCTTTTGAGGTAATGGAATAAATGACATTTCCTTTAGAAGAAAATACAACTTTTTCGACCACTTGTCTGGTGAAAGCCCAATTTACTTCACTTGGCGAGTCAACATGAATTGCTGCGACGTACTTAAACGATGGACTACCAACCAATGCTGTTCCATTATCAAGCCATTTGTAGAATCCTGTTACTAACGATGCAAAAACACTGTGTACATTTTTCACATAGCCCGAGAGTAGACCGTCATCGAAAACATATTCACTGACATGGGTCTTTGGTTCAAGGGGCCACAAGACGAAGTTTACTTTACGTGTAGGTGGAAAGGTAGTTTTGAGTTGACGAAGAATAAAGAGCGGTTTACGGTAAGACACCCATCCATACTGTCCATATCCGATGCCGTCTTCTATCCTATAAGGGAGGTAACCACAGACAAGGGACTTGTTGTCTTGTGTGAAGTGCATCATACCACATGCCACGGCGCACTTCAACAAATGTTGTCTTTGTCCTTCAGCCACATCAAGGTAGATGGAACCAGTCACGTCAGCAAAGGCAATTTGTAAACCATCTTGGGAAATAGCAAAAGATGTAATAATGTCACTCCAAGCTATGCGCCTTAGCTCTTGGCCAGTTTCCATACTCCACAAAACAACTTCCTTTGGATCATCAAAACGGTCTGTCAAAATGGTTTTTTTGTCTGTAGGAAAAGCACAAT